CCCAAAACCCCAAAACCCCAAAACCCCAAAACCCCTCAAATCCCATGAGGTATGAAATATAATAATAATATAAAATGCTGGAAAGCGATAATGGTTTTACCAAACCGATCTCTTTTACTAAAAATGGGAAGGAGAAATACAAAACTTTATGAGGAGGTCTGACTACAATACTAATTTTCTTAGCAATGGTGGGCTACACAGTAATATTACTCACCAACTCTTTTGTTAAAGAAACTACTTCTACTACAGTAACACCTGCAACTGGTACTTTAGATTGAAGCAGCTCTGGAGGTGGAACTGGTGGAGGCGGAACTGGAGGAGGCGGAACTGGAGGAGGCGGTGATAGCGGAACAACTTACGATCCGCACACCTATGTTTGCGAAACTAAGACAACATGTCCTGAACACAGTGAGGAATTATGAACCCCTGTTACAGGAGAGATCACAGCAAGCGATACTCTGCCATTTATTCAATATAATAAAGAGACAACTTTAAAGATGTATAATTCTGTGTATAACAGCGCAGAAGTTCATTACCCTTTTATGAATGGCTTCAACATTGCATTTAGGTGGAGAGGGTTCGTGCTAGATCCTGGAGTATTTTCAGTAACCGGCTTAGTAGTCTATTCAGAAGATGGAGGATCAACAGTGGGATTTACAGAACTCAGCATGATTTCTTGCACAACAGATATGTTCCCAGCTGAACTTGCAGATCAACTTACTTCGATAGGAATTGAGTATTATGCTTGTATTGATCCTAACCATTATGCAACATTAGCTTTGCATCAGAATATGCAAGGAGCTAATTATTCTGTGCTTAGCTTTGATGTATTGGAGTGCTCTTTTGATTGATTAGGCTCCTCTTATTATGGAACAATATTTGATATACTGGTGATCGATGCTGAATTCGACATTAATGATGGCGGTGATAACCTTAAATATTCGATAAACCAAGGATATGAAATAATTTTGGATTCTTCTGCAATATCTTATCTTGACTTTTACCTTGATAAGCATCTATATTTCCACCCAGTTACTTCTAGTATTAGTAGTTTCTACAAATCTCGTAAAGAAGGAGAAGGATATCAGTATTATTCTTCAAATTCTCTGCTGCATATTGATGTTCATCTAGGAGATATCCAGTATTTTCATTTGACTATTCCTGAGCTACAGCCTCAAGTGACAACTCACACAGTAAGTGTTGATGATTCCTTGGCTGAAGGAGAGACCATGCAGGACTGCAGATGGATAGTCTAATTTTTACAGGTAAAAATACTATCTTGTTCACAAAACCTCTCAAACATATTCGAACTGGCTTAAAAATACATTAGTTATAGGTTTTCCAATCCTTGATAATTAGGATTTAATTTTCAATTTCTAGTCTTCATAGTGGGGTTTTGGGGTTTTGGGGTTTTGGGGTTTTGGGG